CTGGTGCTCCAGCCGGTTGTCCAGCCGGCTTTGATGCAGATGTGCGTGTGTCTAGTGTAAAGTAAGTTTATCGTACCACTCTTGGAATACGTCGGTGCTCCAACTGGTGCTCCAGCTGGTTGTCCAGCCGGCTTTGATGCAGATATACGTGTGTCTAGTGTAAATTGGCCCTCTCATACCACTGTTAGAATATGCTGGTGCTCCAGCCGGTTGTCCAGCCGGCTTTGATGCAGATATACGTGTGTCTAGTGTAAATTGGCCCTCTCGTACCACTGTTGGAATATGTTGGTGCTTGTTTGGCAGGTGCTGGTTTTACCGCTGGTTGTCCGGCAGGTTTCGAGACAGGCATAAAAGCAGGTTTCGAGACAGGCATGGAGGCAGGTTTCGAGACAGATGTACGAGCAACTAGCATAAACTAGCAGTGATCATACCGCTCTTTGAGAAAGAAGGGCTTTTGGCACCACGAGACGCACCCCCACGAAGTGCTTGATACGATGGCAGTCGTTCTACATCCAAAGCCAACGCTGCCACCAAATATAACCAGGCACAATGAGCCACAATTTTCATGTTAAAATTGTTGCGGAAACCCGCTGCAAACTTGCTGCGCCTACGATTGCTGCGCCTGCAACTGTGCAAATAAATTTAAATCTAACTATGTTTGTTAGTGGGATGAGTGCAATCCCAGATACAGACATTATCTTGCCTGATTGAGTGATTCACTTTATCTGGCATCTCGTGGCCATGCTTGAACATGGTGGATTTGTGCATCTCATTTAGATTGACAGTGGGGGGTTTCAAAGTTTAACAAAAAAAGTTTTGTACAGTTGAAAATTTGTCAGCCAACAAAACTATTTTTGTTTGCATTGAACCGAGCCAAAGATGAATTCACGATAAAGTGAATGCACCAGAGCTAGCGAAAACTAGCTCAGTTTGTATGCGAGATCGCTCCAATCTCGAGTCTAGCAAGCGTGTCCATGACGATGCGTCGGATGTTCATTGTTGCGACATCGTCTCGATTCCACAATCGCGGCACTAAGTACTTGATAAAGTGGGACGTATGCAAGATATTGCATACAAACTAACAAATATTTATTTGTTAGAGTAACAATCACAAATTTATTTGTGTGCAGATTAAAATTTGCTAAAGTTTGAAACCCCCCGTATTGCAGCTATTTAAGATTGGGTTTAGTTGACGCCAAATAAATGGATGTGGTTCTGAGCAGAGGGGTGATAACCACTTGTGGGTTGGAAGCAACAAGATGGCTAGATCGTGTTTTGGTGCAATGGTCGAGATGGATAGCATTAAAAAAAGACGTTCAAAATAAATGGACAGAGTGGGGTTTGAACCCACGCCACTTTCGTGATTTGATCTTAAGTCAAACGTCTTAGACCACTCGACCATCTGTCCATAGGGTGGATGGAATAGGGGACAACAAGAGGAATTGAGAGAAGGAACAAAAAGGGAAGTTCCAGTTAATTTGTAGTTTCCCCAAAATGACACAACCAATTTCCGGAGTTTTCTTTGAATCTTTACTTCAAAACATGGCAGGTGAAGTAGTTATTTCACCAATGGTAAATCATTAAACTAAGACAAGGAACGAGTTGGTTTGTTGTTGCAGGTGCAAGCCATTCGTAAGAGTCCCTCCGCAAACACTACCACTGTGCCCGTATATAAGGATGCCTTGGATGCCTTATCAAGAATGCCAAGGGAATACGGTGTAAGTTCGTTGTTGGCTGTCTCGGGTGTTTCTCCGCTATCGTAATCACCACTGACCCTAGCACGCCAGTCTCTGGAGAGGGTACTGGGCCGTAGTGCTGCAAAAGACTCTTCGTAGCCATGGCTTCTTGAACGAGATCTGCGGAATTGGCTATGCCCGGCTCTTTTCGTATACTGCCCCTGTCTTCCAGGCCCTCGGGCTTGATGCGCAACCAATCCTCTCGGTTGTAACAAGTAGGCCGTCTGCAGCAACTAACGGTAGCGCTGGGTGCGGGCCTGACCACGCTTGGGGCACTGTATCCCCTGGACTATGCCGTCACACGTCAACGAGCTGGTACGGGCCGTCGGTTACTGACTCTAGATTTGAGCAAGGACGGAAAGGGCATGATCGGCGTGTGGGAGTTCCTGCAGACCCGCTACAACGAGGTATGCGTTACGACACTCACCCGCACCAGCGAGGCTTCCGAGGACTGTACAAGGGATTTGCCTTTTCGGTCATGGGACTGTTTGGCTACCAAGCCGTCCAGATGGCTTCGCAAGCTCTGTTCCAGGGTCTGTTTGGCGACCAGGAAAATGTGGCTGTCTTTGTGTCCATTGGCAGTACCATCCTCTCAGGAATGGTAGGGTTGCTGTTTTAACGCTAGTGCTTCTATCCCTTGGACACAGTCTTGCGATCTGTGATGGTGTGTGACCGCGAGATTTCGGTTTCAGAGTGCGCCAACATCATCTTCGACAGAGAGGGCATTTCTGGGTTCTATGGAGGCGTGTCGATGATCTTGGTCCCTGCTTTGGCTTACGGCACCTTGTACTTGAGCACCTCGCTTTTCCGTTGATTATAAACCCTCATTTTGCCTTGCGGCCCATTTGACCAAATAGATGCCGCCAGACCAGTTTGTTGACTCGGCTCCGGCTGGATACATAAAAATTGGCCAGCTGGCCGACTTTAGCCGCTCCGATTCGGTGTGCACTCCGGTTGCAGTCGAGGGCATCCGCGGCCGTCTGAACATTACCTGGCACGACTCGCAGCTGAAGGCATCTTCCAACATTTGTCCCCACCAAGGCAACCACGGCGGCGGTAACGTTAGGTGGACCCATGCACCGCGGCCGGGTGGTTGACATTGAGGACATGGTTCGTTGGCCGGGCGTAACCACAGGGCATCAAGTGGGGCTCTGCCATCGAGTGCCATTTGCACGGCTGGTCCTTTTCGCTGGACTCTGTTTGTTGCGGGGCCGTCTCACGCTAGGGAATCTGCGGAACCAACAGCTTTATTCTGCCCATCTATCCGATCGTCGTTCTGAAGCAAGACCAGTCGGTCTGGGTCGGGACCACTCCCAGCAACTTGGACCAGCCCGGCCCGCGGAGGGACTTTTACGGCCAGGAACTCGTGTACGATGCTTCGTCAGGGGCATGGGTGTAGTGCTACACGAGCCGGTGCAGCTGCAAGTCTTGGACAATTCTTGCCACCGATCGGCTGGCCAGATCGTTTGGGTCCGCGGCTGCAGCCGACTCGCGAGCAAAGGCTCCCGACTGGCCAGACCACACAATAAACAGATCGTGTCTGTCTTGCGCTGTGGCGGCACCAAAGATGTCGCGGGCGTTGTAGTTCCAGGGCAGCAGGGCCTCGTTGCCGTCCAGAGCCTTGGTCACTGCTGTGTAGAAGCGGTTTGGGAGCATGCGAGCCGGACGGCCGGTGTAAGCCCGGCTTAGGACCGTTTGGGGACCTCGCGGATCCAGACTTGCCTGGACCAGCGCGCTCCGGTGCGACGGCGGGGTCTTGCACTCGCTTGCGAGCAGAAACGCACTCCCCAGCGAGCAGGCAGAGGCGCCTAGGTCGAGACAGGCCTTGATCGACTGGAACGACACAAGCCCTCCTGCGGCAATGTACGGGATCGCCAGTCGCGACTTGGCCAGCGTCAGGAGAGACAGCAGTCCGTGCTGGCCATAGCTGTGCGGGAGCGAAGGCGTGGTGCGATGGCCGCCGGCCTCGATGCCCTGCAGCACCACCGCATCCATTCCGGCATGCTGATAGGTCAGGGCCTCGTCGATCGTCGTTGCGCTGCCAATCAAGTACATGCCGCTGGCGTGGAGACGGTCGACAACGACACGATCGGGGATGCCAAAGGTAAAGATCACGCAGGCAACCTTGTGTTTGACGAGAATGTCGATCTGGTCGTTGAATTCCTGCTGGGCACTGGGATGCGACGGGCCGGGCTTGGGCGTGCTCAAATCCATCTGCAGCTCTCGTCGGAAATCCTGCAGGACGTGCGAGACCGAGGCTGGAACACCCGGCTGGTTCTGCGACAGCGCCGGAGGCAGCAGAAACAAATTGACCGCAAACGGCTTTTGCGTCTGGCGCCGGATGGCCACAATTTCCAGTTCCAGTTGCTCGGGAGGATGGTGGGCCAGAGACCCTAGCATGCCTTGCTCGCTGCAGGCAGCCACTAGCTGGTGGCCAGAGTAGCCAAACATGGGTGCCTGCAGAATGGGATACGTGAGTTTTAGTGTCTTGTTCATTTCAAGTCAACTCGAGATGCGGCGTGTTTCGATTCGATTGAAAATTGGCATAAAAAAACATTTTAATCGTTCATGAAGCAATAACTATTTCGACTCGGCAGCAGGAGCAGCATCGGCCGCAGGCTTCTTGCCCACGTATGGCTCGACAACAGAATAGGCAGTGGACGCAGTGGAGGTGACGACGTTCTTGACTCCGGAGGCGGTGTTGGAGGCAATGTTGATGGCACCCTTGGCGACCTTGACATTCAGGTCAACGTAGCCCTTGGCGGCACGGGTGGCAAGATCAGCACCGGCCTTGGTGGTGTTGATGGTGGTGTCCAAGACTTGGCCGCCCACTCGGTCGGAAAACTGGACAGCAGAGACACTGGTCTTGGCGGCAAAGCTGGTTGCATTCTGCACAACCTGGGGCACATATGGCTGCACCTTTTCGACGGCACTCTTAACAATAGGCTCGGCCGTCTGGTAGACCTTGACGGCAGCGTCTTGCACGGCCTGTGGAGCATATTCGTGGAGAGTAGAACTTGTCATTGGTATGGTTTTGGGAAAGTTGAGAGCAGAACGTGCGACTGATGTTGCTTATATACGCAAGGACGCTCACAGTTTCACCGCCGCCGCGAGCAAGCGAGGCCGTTCGGGGAAACTCTTTTTAGTTATTTAATGAAACATGTGAAAGTAGATTCGAGACAATTTGCTGTCGGACCAGTCTCGTGGACTCTGAACGGCTCTGCCAACTAGTCGTCCAGGTTTCGGTCCAGCTTGTCGTACGGGTACGTTGGCAGAGGCAGGGATCGACCCCTTCGCATAGAGGTGGCCAGCCAGAGCCCAACGACCATCATGCCGATCCCGCCCACCAGAACCAGAGGCCAGACCGACGGGCCTGAGCTGGGGCTGGCATCCTGTCGTTAGTCCAGTGTGCCTACAGCGGAGAGAGCAGGCTGGCCAGCCTTGACGACCACCGAGCCGGCGGGCTTGGCTGCGGCCTCGCCTACGGCAGATGGGGCTGCGGCACTGCTGCTCGGGCTGGAGGAGCGGGCCGCGGCCTTGTTGGACGTCTTGGGCTGCAGCGGATGTGTCTCCACCAGCTTTTGGATGTACGCATACAGGTCCTCGGCCTCGTCTCGGTCTGGGTATTCTTGGTATAGCTTTCCGTCCACAAATCTGCAGTCAGCCGGCCGCACCATCGTACACTAGCAGCGTCGGGAACCCGTCCAGCTTGTAGGTGCTCACGCAGAACCGCTCCTGGTCGGTCGAGCACTCCACCTTTGCCATATCAAAGCCCGCCGAGGTCTTTAGTCCGTCTTCGTCCACCATGTTCTGGACCTGGAGAAACTTGGGAGTGAAGCTGGCGGTCAGCGAGCAAGATGTACCGTTGGGTGTTGACGCACCAGGCTGCTCCAAAAAAGACTATCATGGTCCGGGCAGCAGCAATGGCGGGAGCCACCTGCTCAAACTCCAAATGTCTGATGGCATCGTCGGCCTTGACGGCAGCCTTTTGCAACTCCAGTCGCTGCCGGTTACCGTCCAGTCTCTACCTCTTGTGTAGTCATTTTTGGGCCGGGTAGACAAACAGCCAGGCCAAACAGCAGCAGCCAGACGTTCATTGCAGGTTTTAATTGGGGAACTGGGCTCGCCGTGGAGAACCCAGTGCGTCGACTGCAAGCAAGCCAGATCGGTCGACGGCTTTGCCGGCCCATCAGATCCATTCGTGGCAGGCCGGCAGCGCACTTGTCCAAAAAAAGACGTTGGAACAACCCATGGACTCGATGGCTTCGTCGTCCAAAGAGTGTCAGTGTCCTATCTGCGGTAGAACCCATCGAGGAATAACTGTAGGCGAGCCGTTTCCGACTCTGGCCGTGGTGGAAGCGCACCTTGCGACGCTCCACTACCCTGGTCTCTCTCCGGCCTCCCAAAGCCATTCTCCCAACTCTCCCTTTTCTTCCTCCGCCAATCCCTTTGCTAATTTTATTGACCAGACAAAGCGGCTGCTGCAGGGCTCCAAGGTGGCCCAGCCCACTGCCTTTCAGGATGTGCTGGCAGGAAAGGACATTTTTGAGCTGAACGAAAACCCAGCGGATTTGACTCCCAACGGCCTGAGCGATGAGGACTATGACCGGTTCCTGAGCCTGCCGGCCGTGACCAAGATGGGCAACTTGCAGGACTGGATTCGGAAAACGCA